CAAGGGATTATCTGGGAGAAGCAGCTGGACAGAGTAATGAATAAGGTCTACAGGTCTTTGTGGACCTGTGGGGGCATGTTTAGAATTATGTGGAGACTAAAACTGAAGTTCTTTGCAGAATGTACACATGGGTAGTCATTTTCATAATCTCCTGTCCTGCCATAGTGTGGTGGCTAATGGTGGAATTTAAAGCCAGCAGGACCAAACTTAGCAGATTGCAAATACTGGCCTGCCTGGATATAATTGGAGCCAAGCAGATAACTACAGTTACAACTGAGGCCCTTCTTGAAGTTACCCACAACTGAAGTTGAAGGCCAAGGCCTGAGTCAAATTTACAGTCAGCTGCAGTGGAGCTTTTAACACAAATCCGAGTGGTACATGCTACCTCACAGACCTTGAAACATAGTCACCACCGTGAAAACATCAAATCTTACATGGAAGAACCCCTCATACAGATATGGACAGACAAATGATACCACAATATGTAATAGACCATTTGTGATGAGATTCCCTGACAAAGTGAATGAGATTGTGAGTTTCAGCCCCACAGAAAAGGGGGATTCTGGTAAGCAGATGGGTCCAAGACAAAGTCAGGCACTAGTTCTGGGGTGTATGAATATGTCACAATGAAGAATCTTAAGCGGACCCTACACGATCAGTAATAATGTCATTACTCCTTCATTACCTTTCAACCTTACACGATCATTAGAAATGACATTAATTTCTTCAGTACTGCTCAACTCATCAAGAGAGAAGCACATTTATTTTGTGTCAGTTTTCTCCAGGATTATAATGGATCCTCGCAGAAAAGCGTGTATTTCTATAATTTTGGCATTGCGCACCAAACGAAATGTTAATAGCCGACGCTGGATGAAAACCTGGTTACAAAAACGTGAAAGTATTCGCATGTTGTTCTGCTAAAAGAAATTGTTGCAATGGAATCAGAAGATTACAGAAACTATTTTCGTATGAGTGAAGGAACATTTGATGAGTTGCTGAGAATGGTCAAAGCATTTTTAATAAGGAAGGACACTATTATAAGGGAGAGCTTACCAGTGAATGAAAGATTAGCAGTGACCCTGAGGTACCTAGCTACAGGAAGAAACTTTGAAGACCTCAAGTTTTCAGCTGTCTAAGCATTGCTGTTGTTGAAACATATGAAGTGCTTATATACGTTCTGCAAGAGTATAAGAAGGTAAGCCCTCTTTTGTATAATTGTTTTGTATCAATGGTTTGCTTATTGTATAAGTTAAAATTCAAGTGCAGTAGGGTATAATTAAAACATATCAACTAGTTAGAAATCATTTATTAGAATGCAATATCTTGAACAATGAAACACATATAAATTCTATTTAAAAGCATGTGACTAATGAAACATGAAACTAGAAATGAAACTGTTACAGAACAACATAAAGGATCATAATTAGGGTTTAAAGTTTGTAAAGAATGTAGGCAATGCATCTTCTTGTTCTTCAGCTGGTGAGGGACAAGAAGAGGTATCCGCAGGAGAAAAGGATTGAAGTGATGGGTTTCTTTCAGTGATGGGGAAGGAGGTTAGTGATGAAATGGTCCCGTACACGGGATCCTCATTGATTTTCACAGAATATCTGTGCAGAGTCCCTTGACTCGCCTCAAAAAGGATATCACTGATAGTTTTCTCAGCTAAAGCTCTTTGCTGAGGATCCAATGTAGTGAGTTTCTCACCCCATGTCTTGACAGTAGTCGGGATATTTTCTTGGGGTTCCCTAGGTTGGTCCAGGTATGAACAAGCTTTCTGTAGAAGCTCATTTTGCTTCGCAATTGGTCCAAGTATACGTCATTTCTTGGGTGGCGGTGGTGGAAGAATTGATGATCGTGATGCCGTAGGGGCTTCTGGTGTTGGGAATTGTTCTCCTTGTACCTCACTGTCTGTTCCATCATGAGTGTCCTGAATATAGATAAAAATTGTTTTTATTATTGTTACTAAATGTATCTTGTATTTATATATTTGTTATATTCAAATTTCACTTTTCTCATTTTCCCAGAACTCCTGAGGAATGGGTTAACATCGCGAGTTATTTTGGCCATCTTCATCAATTTTGGAATACCGTGGGGGCAATTGATGGCAAACATATTGCCATTAAAAAACCCACGAAATCAGTTTCCCTATACTACAATTACAAAGGAGTTTTCAGCATCGTGCTGTTAGCTGTGGTAAACGCAACAAAGGAATTCATCATGGCAGATGCTGGCATGAATGCATGAATATCAGATGGACGAGTTCCGAATGAATCCTCAGGCAACTCAGAAAGGGTCTGGTGGACCAACAGGTCAACAGCCACTGCAGATTATTGTAGCTACTTGCCTCTCACCTAGGCCCTTGGCTTTGTATTGCGACCAGTGAGCCACTGCCAGTTGGTTCTTCCTTATTTCACTGCTCCAAAACCACCTGCAGAGCAGGATCCGTCGTCCATCCCAATTAAGACACCAGTTGTAATGTTTATCTTATTTTGGAGCAGTTATTGTTTCACTAACATTCTTGTTAACTACTTTGTCATTGTACACTGCTGCACTATTCTGTTCCATCTTATCACTGCAACCTGCACTATACACACTGTTTCACCATTCACAATGTCTGTCTGCAGCTTCTGGCTTACAGTGACACTCAACAGATCTGCCTCCTCTTTGCCTTGTAACCAACATTTGATACATGTTATATTTCTAGAAAGTTGAATGCATATGCAAGAAATGAGGCACACTCCATTTTTTGAACATGAGAGGAAACTTCAGTAAATGAAAGCTGTGCTCATGCTGGCATGTGACCCCCCTCTCCCATGCACTGACTCTGCACCACAACATTATGTTCCTTGTGCTTCACACTGTACATGTTGGAATGTTATTTTCAATAGTATATATTTGGGCATTCCAGTTTTAACATATCAGAGACTGGTGTTGCAAAACATGTATCCCCAAGTCCAAAATGTCTGTTGTATGTTCCCCTGACATGTGGCCAGGTTGAGTTTCCTTGAGAAGAATGCCTGGGACTGCGTCGGGTTTTCACATGGCGATTGATGGTGGCCGGCATTGCTGGGCCGCTCATCAGGGCCAGCTTCCTCTCTCATTTCAGCCTCCTGGTGGACTGCCAAAAGAACCGCCTACTGGACGGTCTCACGTTGTCTTCCCCGGCGCAGGCAGCCAACTCACTGATTCCCAGCGTCAAGACCATTAGTAGCGGCACATCAGTCGACAGCCTACTCGTCAAATTCCTGGACCTCACCCACCTAGCCGGAACCCAGCTCGAAGTGCGCCACAACACTGTGCATCAAATCCCGACTATACCTGGCCCGCCAGTCACCTGCTGACCCCGGCAAATGGCACCAGACCGACTCGCTATCACCAAAGCTGAGTTCGATGCCATGTTATGGGATGGCACAGCTCGCTGCTCAGAGGGTTCCTGGTCTTCTGCACTACACATTGTATCCAAGAAGGACAATGGTTGGCATCCCTGTGGCGACTACTGAGCTTTAAATGCCTGGAAGATCCTCGACCGCTACCCTGTCCGGCATATCCATGACTACTCCCACCAGCTTTTCGGTTGTTCCGTCTTCTCCAAGATCCACCTGGTGAGAGCCTACAACCAAATTCCCGTCGATCCCGAGGATATACAGAAGACGGCCATCACCACTCCATTCAACCTACTCGAGTTCCCTTCATGTCCTTCAGCCAGCGCAATTCCGCACAGACCTTCCAACGCTTCATGGACGACATTCTGTGGGGACTCGACTTCTGTTTCGCTTACCTGGATGATGTCATCATATTCTCCCGGTCTCTAGAGGAACAGGAGCAACACCTACGGGCACTGTTCGACCGACTGCAGAAGTCCAAAACGTGATGTCAGTGATTTTATTGTGAAGTGACTACGTTGCAGTGCGCTCAGACTGGTTGGGATCGGTGGAGGGGGAAGTCAGCTTATGAACGCGCAGTCGCTTAGTCGTCTCTGAACTTCCTGAGAGTGACAAAAGGCTTTTCCGTGAAACTCGTTTTCGTGCAAGCCGCAATGCAGCGCTCCTTGGAACAAAGGACTGCCATCAAGTTTTGGCTGAAACTTGGCAAGTCTGTAGTGGAAACTTTTCCCATGATAAAGACGGCCTTCGGTGATGATTGTTTGTCGGAATGTCAGGTCTACCGGTGGCACAAGGCCTTTTTAGAAGGCCGTGAAGAGGTTGGCGATGAAGCCCGCGCTGGACGGCCATCAACAAGCACCACCGACGAAAATGTGAGTTTGTACCACATGGTACAACCATCAACACCAAATTCTACGTGGAAGTGCTAAAGGGACTCAAACGAAGGGTTTATCTCATCTGGCCCGACGTCGCAGACGATTGGAAACTTCACCATGATAATGCGCCAGCCCACACCGCCTTCCTCGTGACCCGCTTCCTCACTGATTCAAAGGTGCCACCGGTTCCCCAGCCGCCCTACAGTCCTGACATGGCTCCCCCAGATGTCTTTTTCTTTCCCCACTTAAAAACTCCCATGAAAGGACATCATTTTGGGACAGTTGACGAAGTCAAAGAGGCTTGCACCAAGGCTCTAAAGGACTTTCCGGAGGAGGCCTACCATGACGCCTTTGATGCCTGGAAATCTCGCTGGAAGCGATGTATCGACGCAGACGGAGCCTATTTTGAAGCCTTTTAATGCGTTGTACCGATCTAATCAATAAATGTTTTTACTTTTCGGACAAACCCTGTATAGAAGACAAAAAACCACAACGTTTCGGAGACTGGATCTGTTTCCATCCTCAGGTGGATGGGGCAGTTGGGCCAATTAGAAAGACCTAGTCTCAATCACTGGGTCTCTGACGGGCCCAACTTANTTGGGGCCGTGGGGTTCATATTTGTATGGAGTGCAACAGGATGCTTAAATATAATATTGCAAACAGAAGATCGCATTAAGTGGAGAAACTGTTTTGGAAGAGGCTGTGAACCTGTCGTCTGACAGATTACTGATGAATGAATGAATACCAGATGATGGACAGAGTCCAAAATAAGCCTAATAGTTGTGTACAGCATACACCATCGTCAGAATCGTTTCAAGTCCATCAGGTATGTGGTTTAGTTTTGCAGTTAACTATTTTCTGTAAGCAACTGTTTTCTTAAAATGTGGCTGGTCCTCAAGATGTTAAAACCAGAAAGCATTGTCACACAGCAAAACGTAAAACTAATATATGTATTACATTAAACAGGTTTTGAAAAGTGAATTGAGTGCAATTCGATGTGCTTGTTCTTCTGTGGAGGAAGGTTATGAACCTAAAGTGACATTCCTGGTGGTGGTGAAAGGTCACCACACCCGATTCTTTCCAAGAGATGAGGATGCAGAAGGGGAAAATAGGAATGTTCCAGTTGGTACTGTGGTTGATCGTGAAATTACTCACCCAACTGAAGTGCAATTTTATCTGCTTTCCCAGGTATGCTTGTATGAGAAAAGTCAACATCAAATTAATTAGGCAACTGTAACTGTTTAACCAGCCAGCTAACTATGTAACTCACTGTGTGCTATAGAGTCTTCATAAGTTGATAGTTGCTCAACAGTACAAGAAATTTTCTGCTTTTATGGGACGTGAAGGTTCATCACAACTGCTGTTACACAATGTCTTTAAGTCTATTGAATACACACAGTGTATTAGAGATGTTTTTCAATATTACTCTCAATGTTTTGTGTCCCAAACTGCATGTTAACTGTCCAGTCATTTTTTCTTTATTGACAAGATGCTGTATGAAATGTGATTATAATTCACGCCATGAAGTATTGACTTCACTGTACTGGTTATATGCCCAATGAAAGCATGCCACATTGCCAGAGTAGAGCACCAAGTTTTCTGTTCAGCCATTGGCTAAAATAATGGCTTTGTGACATTGGCAACCAGAGTGTGGCAGCATGTCTATTGTGATTGTCACAATATTGCTGTAACCAGCAATGCCTTTTGAACTTTAATGAACTAATGTTTAAATGTGACTGGTGCTTGAAAGATTAATTTAGAAATATGGTACAGCTTACAAATGAAACGCTGTTAATTATTTTATTGTTCTATTAAAATTCAGGTATTGCTTATATTCACGCAAATATGGTATAAAATTTTATATTAGCATTCAGCTATCTGAAATTCAACAACTGCAATGAGTAATGGACTGCATGCCTTGAAACTTTAATCTTTATTAAAATCATGTATGTGTTACCAAGGTTCTATGTACAAGGGTCGTACTGAAAGCCATGAGCAACAATTTCTTTGTAAAGTAACATACTTTATTATTGACAAACCAAATACACCACCTCGATCTACAGACCTTTCTTTATTTTTCCACATAATCGCCACTTCTTTGTACACATTTCTCCCAGCGTTCTGGGAGTTTTAAAATTCCCCCTCTGTAAAATTCTGTTCCAGCCATCCGAAGACACTGATGCACTGCTTTCTGAATTGCCTCCCTTGTCTCAAAACGTTGTCCACACAGCCGATCCTTCACAAATCCAAAAAGATGGTAGTCGGAGGGTGCCAGATCAGGGCTATACGAGGGGTGTGGAAGAACTTCCCACCCCATCTTTGCAATTGCTTCCAATGTGAGACGAGCATTGTCATGCAGGATGATGATGTTTCATCCCGGACATTTATCGCACAATGCACGATGGAGCTTGTGCAGTGTCTGGACATAACAAGCAGCATTGATGGTTTGCCCAGGTTCCAGGAATTCGGCCAGAATAAACCCCTCTGCATCCCAGAAGACTGTGCCCATCACATTCACAGCTGATATATACGAGTATATATAGTAGTTCTTTGTTTTCTATTCAACAAATAAGACTTATATAGGTCATACTGGTTTCCTTTTATTCCATAAAACTTTAATTCGTTTAATAATACTTCATGGCTGACACAGTCAAAGGCCTTTTGTAGGTGACAAAAGATTCCACACACTTGCTTCTTTTTGTTTAATGAATCTAATATTCTGGCAATAAGGTTGTTACTTTTTTTTGCTTCCGCATACAATACCCTTTTGTTTCTGCAAGAAACTTTTATGCCAGTGGTAATCCATGTTTTCTGTTTATGTCTTTGTCTTTTTGCTCTCTGCAGATTGGATTAGCAGAACTAGAGGATGTTCCTTTGGCTGCGCGGATTGATGTGTCATTCTCATCATGGAACCTGATTTCGTTATGATCAACTTATGATGCAACAGCTCAGTGACACTTTTCCTAATTGGTGGATCAGTCATGGCAGTACCATTAACTGCCCAGCACTTGAAGAACAAGCTGTCTTGTGCAAAACAATACTGCTTTTCAGAAAAGTCTGGATTAACTAACATTGGACAAGGGATTATCTGGGAGAAGCACCTGGACAGAGTAATGAATAAGGTCTACAGGTCTTTGTGGATCTGTGGGGGCATGTTTTGAATAATGTGGGGACTAAAACTGAAGTTCTTTGCAGAATGTACACATGGGTAGTCATTTTTCATAATCTCCTGTCCTGGCATAGTGTGGTGGCCAATGGTGGAATTTAAAGCCAGCAGGACCAAACTTAGCAGATTGCAAATACTGGCCTGCCTGGATATAATTGGAGCCAAGCAGATAACTACAGTTACAACTGAGGCCCTTCTTGAAGTTACCCACAACTGAAGTTGAAGGCCAAGGCCTGAGTCAAATTTACAGTCAGCTGCAGTGGAATTTTTAACACAAATCCAAGTGGTACATGCTACCTCACAGACCTTGAAACATAGTCACCACCGTGAAAACATCAAATCTTACATGGAAAAACCCGTCATACAGATATGGACAGACAAATGATACCACAGTATGTAATAGACCATTTGTGATGAGATTCCCTGACAAAGTGAATGAGATTGTGAGTTTCAGCCCCACAGAAAAGGGGGATTCTGGTAAGCAGATGGGTCCAAGACAAAGTCAGGCGCTAGTTCTGGGGTGTATGAATATGTCACAATGAAGAAACTTAAGCGGACCCTACACGATCAGTAATAATGTCATTACTTCCTTCATTACCTTTCAACCTTGCACATTTATTTTGTGTCAGTTTTCTCGAGGATTATAATGGATCCTCGCAGAAAAGCGTGTATTGCTATAATTTTAGCATTGGGCACAAAACGAAATGTTGAATAGCCGACGCTGGATGAAAAACTGGTTACAAAAACGTGAAAAGTATTTGCATGTTGTTCTGCTAAAAGAAATTGGTGCAACAGAATCAGAGGATTACAGAAACTATTTTCGTATGAGTGAAGGAACATTTGATAAGTTGCTGACAATGGTCAAACCATTTTTAATAAGGAAGGACACTAATATAAGGGAGAGTTTACCAGTGAATGAAAGATTAGCAGTGACCTTGAGGTACCTAGCTACAGGAAGAAACTTTGAAGACCTCAAGTTTTCAGCTGTCATGTCACCTGCTACAATAAGCATTGCTGTTGTTGAAACATGTGAAGTGCTTATATACGTTCTGCAAGAGTATATGAAGGTAAGCCCTTTTTGTATAATTGTTTTGTATCAATGATTTTCTTATTGTATAAGTTAAAATTCAAGTGCAGTAGGGTATAATCAACTGGTTAGAAATTATTTATTAGAATGCAATATCGTGAACAACGAAACACATAAAAATTCTGTTTAAAAGCATGTGACTAATGAAACATGAAACTAGAAATGAAACTGTTACAGAACAACATAAAGGATCATAATTAGGGTTTAAAGTTTGTAAAGAATGTAGGCAATGCATCTTCTTGTTCTTCAGCTGGTGAGGGACAAGAAGAGGTTTCCGCAGGAGAAAAGGATTGAAGTGATGGGTTTCTTACAGTGATGGGGAAGGAGGTTAGTGATGAAATGGTCCCGTACACGGGATCCTCATTGATTTTCACAGAATATCTGTGCAGAGTGCCTTGACTCGCCTCAAAAAGGATATCACTGATAGCTTTCTCAGCTAAAGCTCTTTGCTGAGGATCCAATGTAGTGAGTTTCTCACCCCAAGTCTTGGCAGTAGTCGGGATATTTTCTTTGGGTTCCCTCGGTTGGTCCAGGTATGAACAAGCTTTCTGTAGAAGCTCATTTTGCTTCGCAATTGGTCCAAGTATTCGTCATTTCTTGGGTGGCGGTGGGGGAAGAATTGATGATCGTGATGCCATAGGGGCTTCTGGTGTTGGGAATTGTTCTCCTTGTACCTCACTGTCTGTTCTATCATGAGTGTCCTGAATATAGATAAAAATTGTTTTTATTATTGTTACTAAATGTATCTTGTATTTATATATTTGTTATGTTCAAATTTCACTTTTCTCAGTTTCCCAGAACTCCTGAGGAATGGGTTAACATCGCGAGTGATTTTGGCCATCTTCATCAATTTTGGAATACCGTGGGGGCAATTGATGGCAAACATATTGCCATTAAAAAACCCACGAAATCAGTTTCCTTATACTGCAATTACAAAGGAGTTTTCAGCATCGTGCGGTTATCTGTGGTAAACGCAACAAAGGAATTCATCATGGTAGATGCTGGCATGAATGGATGAATATAGGATGGTGGAGTTCTGTACTACTCAAAATTTGGGGAACTTTTACAGCAAAGATCCCTGAATTTGCCAAAACCCACACCATTACCAAACACAGCTGGACATTTTCCATGCGTGTTCGTCGCGGATGAGGCATTTGCATTAGATGTAAATTTAATGAAACCCTACTCTCAGAAATTTCTGAATGAAGCTTGACATGAATTCAATAACAGATTGTCAAGAGCTCGTGTAATTGTGGAAAATACTTTCGGAATTCTGGCTTCCAAATTTGGTGTATTTCAGAAACCAATCAACCTTGAACCGCAAAAGGCCAAAACAATTACAGTGGCTTGTTGTTACTTGCACAATTTCCTTGCTAAGGAAAGTAATCAAGTATATTTTTACCCAAATGAAAAAAGTACTGATGAAAACGACCTTGCCGATTTACAAAACACTCTGAACAGAAATAGTACCTCAGATGGAAAGAAAATCCAAGATATTTATTGTGAGTACTACAGCAATGAAGGCAAATCGCAGTATTTACCATTTGCAGCAGCAGGAAACACCAGCAACATATGAAACTTTCTTTGTATGTGTTTGATTACAGAATGTAAAAATAAAGTGTATTAAGTGCATGAAAAGAAATTCTTTTCTTAGTTTAACGATAATAAAGGAAATAATAATATTCATAATAAATTCTGCCAAGCTATGAGAACTTTGAACTCCCCTAAAAATCTTGATGACCCCTTATGTAAAATTTGGACACACAACACATGCAGGGGTTCTAACTGTTACAGTAACACAAGGGCCATGATGCAGAATTCTCTATTATGTATACAGATAAAATTATTATTGATAGAATTTGTATATGTAGGTACTTATCACGTTTACCTGCTGTACATTGGCGTTGACTGTTTGTTCAAATCTGTCGAGAAACTGGAGGGCGTAAAATACCTAGGAACTAGGCTGGTACAATTCATCCGTACTGCTTCCCGATCTCTTCGATGTCAGAACTTCCTTTAATTCCTTCCTCTAGTTACAGCGAAGCATGTTGATTTTTCGTCTCACATCAGCACGACTAGTCCCTGGTTTTATTTTAACGTATATATCCAGGAGTTTGTCCAAGGCTATATTTCTTTTTGTTTTATTCAAATACACTGGGTTAGTGGGGTTCCACAGGTCTGGTAGGGCTTCATACGTCTCTCTGAAGTTCCGAAGAACTTTACCCTCTTCTGCAGTCACCTCACTTGTAGGGGATTCAGTGACGGAGAACTCCCTTTCGCTGTCCATGTCTATTTATTGCCACTCTGACTGCACAAAGTGAACTGAGTAATGAAGGAGTAATGACGCGCAATCTACACGGTCATTACTAATGACAGTATCCCCACCATGCGCCAGTAATGATGCCTCAAAGTCAGAAAATCCGGATTCGCATCATTACTGACCATCATTCCAGTTCCGTCAACCTTACGCAATCATTATTAATGTCATTCCGATCAGTTAATGACATTATTACTGATCGTGTAAGGTCTGCTTTAGGTTTAGCCTTTGGCAGTAATCATAGCATTCCAGGCTAAATTGTATGCCATTTATGGCATGCACAGTAAAGTAAAAGTAAGTAAAGCTATCCCTGTACACAGGCCATGGACACCCATAGGGTTGTGAGATACTGAGGTTCCCGCATTTTGTAGATAATCAGCTCATAGATGGCGATAAGATTGTCAGCCCTACACACCGGCTGCTGTTTGCCCCCATGAATATTCCTGGTACTGATTTCTGTTAGAGGCTGAGTTGACCCCTGGGCCATAGTGCAGTTGGAAGGATTAGGTAAATTAAAAAAAAATGCCATTATGCTACAAGCCGGGAGGTCATGGGTTCAAGTCCCGATGAGGTCATTAGATTTGTTTTCAGTTGACCTAACCCTTCGAGCTGCACTATGGCCCTGGGGTCGACTCAGCCTCTAACAGGAATTAAGTAATTTTCCTGGGGAGTAAAGTGCGGCCAGCGCATATGGCTCACAACCTCACCGCCATCTTTGAGCCGATTGTCTTGATAATGTGGGACCCTCAACGTCTCATGGCCTGTTACAGGGATAGCTTTACTGGCATGTGCAGTACACAACATAAACAGGCATTATAAGAATGCACACATCCTCATTTTCAGTTAGAGTGCAATAAAAGCATTTGACAGTTCACATCAATCTCTAGTAAAACTGACCAACATAATGGTGCAATTAATATAGATCCCAGGAATTAAGGGGGAGTGAATTATGAACCACCTGGGAAGATCCAAATCCGAACTGGCATGTGGCATTTCATAAGTTTCAAAGTGGACCACCCAAAATGTCTGGTGAAAAACATGTTCAGAGACTTTTTCAGGGACCCTCTAAAATAATCAAGTACTAGCACAGAAACCAGCAAAGCCGTGAAATTTACAAAATGGATGTACGCACATACAAGTGCACAAGACAAATGAAAAGACCAGCAATGGAGGTGATAAACAATAGTTTGGGTACGTCACATATCCTTAACACTTCTTTGACAGAGATGAAGCAAGCTGAGTACAAAATCAGAATGTATATAGAGTATTAGCAACTTTGCAATTGCAAATTACAGATACACACTTACTTACTTACTCATGGAGCTGAGCCCTTCTGGAGGAGCCGCCAATTCTGCAGCTACTCAAGAATTTTCCAGCATTTTATGGAACCCGAAGGTTCATCACCGTGTTCACAGGAGCCCTCCACTGGTCCCTATCCTGAACCAGATCAATCCAATCCATACCATCACATTCTATCTCTCTAAGATCCATTCTAATGTCATCCACCCACCTACGCATTCTTTGTCTCCCCCCATTCGTGCTACATGACCTGCCCACCTCATCCTCCTTGACTTGATCATTCTAATTGTACTTGGAGAAGAGTTCAAGTTATGAAGCTCCTCATTATGCAGTTTTCTCCAACCTCCTGTCACTTCATCTCTCTTCGGTCCACATATTCTCCTCAACGCCCTGTTCTCAAACACAGGCAGTCTACGTTCCTCCCTTAATGTCAGAGACCCAAGTTTCACACCCATGCAGAACCACAGGCAAAATTATAGTTTTGTATATTCTAATTTTTATGTTTTTGGACAGCAGGCGAGAAGACAAAAGGTTCTGGACTGAATGGTAGCAAGCATTACCTGAGTTCAATCTCCTCTCAATTTCCTCCTGAATCAGGTTTCGATCTGTTATCGTTGTTCCCAAATATCTGAATTGTGACACATTTTCAAGACATCTGTTTCCTATCTTTATATCATGATTTTGCCCTGCATTTTAGTGATGAGACAGCAACATATACTTGGTTTTCTCAGTGTTTACTTCTAGACCAACCTCTTTACTTGTGTCAATTAAAGTCTGTGTGTTTTTCTTTATGGTATCTACATTATCACCCAGTAGATTCACATCATCGGCATAAGCCAACAGCTGATGTGTCCCATTTAATTTCAGACCCACCTGGCTTCCCTGGACCTTCCTAATTGCATATTCTAAAGCAAAGTTGAAGAGGAGTGGTGATAAAGCATCTCCTTGGTTTAGACCATTCTGGATAGGAAATTTATCAGACAAATATTTACCTACAT